CCACAAAAATCAAATCAAAATTCTAGAGGTTGAGGATTTTACATCCGATTCAGCGTTGCTTTAGGAGCTGCTCCTATCGCAATCTTTCAAAATCAAAATTCTAGAGGTTGAGGATTTTACATCCGATTCCGCGTTGCTTTAGGAGCTGCTCCTATCGCAATCTTTCAAAATCAAATTCCCGAGGATAAGGATTTTACATCCGATTCCGCGTTGCTTTAGGAGCCCCTCCTATCGCAATCTTTCAAATTAAATTCTCAAGGATCGGTATGAGACCCCCTTCAATGGATGTTAAGGCTTTCGATTCCTTTAAATTTCAAATCCTTCGAGATAGATGTGAGTCCCTGAAAGCGGCATCTTATTCTCATGTCATCTTTCGAGGTTGATACCTAAATTCCAACTTTCTTTCCGAGATTGATACTTAAGTTTCAATTCTCGCCGCGTTGCTTTAGGAGTCCCTCCTATCGCAATCTTTCAAAATTCAACTATCATTCTGAGGTCGGTACCCAATTTCTGATTTCCATCTTTCAAAATACCTGAAATTCAATAATTTGGAAATCATTCGCATATCCCCAGCTGAAATCTTGTTTCCTCGAAACTTGATTCAAAATTTGCTTGTTAACTCTCCAACGGAAGACCCAACTCATGCATTCGCAAAATCTTTCTAGAGCTGTGGGTTCCCGATTGGGAACCCAACTCAAATTCAATTTTATATCAAGTTCGACCTTTGATCGGTTTTCTTAAACAATTCCTTGGTTTGTTGATCCATTCGGTCAACACCAATACGCGCGGTGTGCTTGATTAGCACACCACACCTATTGGGGGTCCATTTGTTGACCTCATTTTTGTGAGGTCTTTTCTTCTCCTGCTTAGAGCCCAAGATCTAGCTCTAGGGGAAGTTCCTATTGATCATCTTAGAAAACTAGAATTAAGACCCACCCTTTTAGAAATTATAACCACTTCCTATTTTCCTTTGATGTCTAGCATTTATGGTACAATACCATCGTCTTATGAACGAGCGATTATGGGCTATTTTGTGAAGACTCAAGGGAAAAGTTCCCAATAGGATTCCGAGCCTTAGGAAAACATTCTTCACGACTTTTTCGTCACATACACACACAAAATGCACAAAATTCAATGAATTGCACGAAATCGGACTTCAATTAAGCCTAAAGGACGGGTGAAAATGCGAACTTCTCCGGATGACCTCCGACGACAAAATGGATTGCGCCAACGCGTCTGGGATACCAATTTTGGTAGGAAATGACACCCATATTGCCATATTTTCGACACGATAAAATTGACACGTAAATCGGTGAATTCGTCAAAGCGACCTCTGACGGCGAAATGAACTGCGCCGGAGCGTCTGGAATGTCGAGATTACCTAAGGATGACATCCATTTTTTTTTTTGCTAGGGCGCCGCACATGGATAAATCATATGAAATTATATATATATATATAATTCTGTTTTCTTTATTTCCTTTAAACCTAAATCCCTAAATCGCACGGCTTGCTCTCCTTCACGTTCGCATGGCTGGCCCGAGCCTTCCTCCCTCGTTCGCGAGACCGACCGAGTAACCCTCCTCGCGAAGCTTCGGCCGAGGTCCTCTCCTCGTACGCCTGCCGCCCTGGAAAAGTTTCCACGCCGTGTCACGCTCCTCTGCGACAAAGCTTCGCCTCTGCGATTCTCGACGTCACCTCCTCACGCGAGGTTTGTCGCTTCTCTTGGCTCGGCTCACCGCCCAGGTAAGCGATGGTGTTCTTCCTCCTCCCTCTCCTGCTATAAAAACCTCACTTGGGGAGGAGTTCTAGGGTTGGCCGAAAATCTAGAGAAGGGATAGGTGCTGCCAAATAAAAAAAAATCTGAGTTCTTTATTGGTTGTGTCATTGCGGTGGAATTTCTGGAGCTCTCTCTGGCCTAGAGATTCTTATGCTTGATTTTCTTACTCATCAGGAGGTAATGATTTCTTACTTTTCCCCTCTATTTTAATCAGCTTGGCCTGTAGAGGGATTCTTAGTCTTGCAAGTGGCTTTTGAGTAAGCAACTGCTATACAAAACTTGTGTGTTCGCATAGCCGAATCTTATTATATGGTTGTTAGATGGATTTCTGAGAAATATAACTCGTACATGCCACTTAATTCTTTATGTATGCGCCACTCAATTCTTTACATACATATCACTCAATTCTTTACATGCTTGTTGAAATTTTAAAAGCATCGATAAGCTTTTATTTGTTGTTCATGCATTCCCCATGTCAGAAAAAGATATTTGAAGCTATCAAAGGTTTGAAACATTTTTGATATTTGAACCTTGCTGTAAATCCCACTTGATTGCCAAGATCATTAAGCAGTTTTTATCATTTGCGGTTCATAATTTATAGAAATGTAGCTGGGGGAATTTTGCTGTGATGATTTCTTGTCTGGCAATATTAATCTTCCTAATCCCCGTCACTTGGAATTGCCCCCGATTGTATTTTCTGGTGTATCTGGAATTGAGAAATTAAAGTCACTTCAAGAACTAGATGAGTTTAATGGTAAGAATGAGAATGGTTACAAAATTGGTGAATTGGAACATATGAGCGAGTTGCACAAATTAAATTACATTTTCTGAAAATATGAGGGATGCTAGGGAGGCTCGCACAACAAAACGGTGCGGTGCGGTCGCGTCTGGCAGCGATGGGAGGATGGGGTTTGGCTTATTGGGGTTGGTGGGCGGGGTGTTATGTGTCAGGGATTTGACTTGGGGGTGAAAACTTAGGGAATTGAGGACGACGGGGTTGGAGTTGGGGGAGATGGAGGGAGGGGATTGGCGGAAGGTGGGGGTGGAGGGAAGTTAGATGAATGTGGATTAGTGGTTGAGGAGGCGGGAGGGGGGACATTTGGCGCTCGTTTGGGCGTTTTAAGCCATGCATAGAGATAGAATATTTAAGTTTTATCAATTATTAAAAGATCGGATTGAAAATAGTAAAGCTTTCACTGGAGTTTGAATGCTAGATTTTTTTTTTTTTTTTTTTTTTAAATACTTTACACATGCAAATCCTCTTTTGATCCTTCTTGGTCAGTTGCTGGATGTTATTGCTGTTTTGGAACATGAAGGACTTTGTATAGAGGGGGAGTTGATTCTCTCTTCAATGTTTTGCTTATATACCATGTCATTCACCTGTATTTATATATGTATCACTTGGGTTAGCAGGTATGTGTACAGAGTTTAGTTTGTATGTGTGCAGACTTTGCCCATTTATCCCTAAAACAGCTCTATATCACCAAATGTGGGCGTCGATACATTCAGAATTTGGCTTCTTTCATACTTGTTCCCTAGACGTATATGCCTACACATGCAGATTTCTTGATTCACATTCACATTTATGCACATAGCAATTCAAGCGGACGAAGACATGTACAAAATTCTTTGTTTTTCATTGGTATTTATGCATATATAGCATTCAAGGAGGACTGGAAATGAGGAGAATTATATTAGCCAGTTGATACGCTAAGATATGTTAGAATTAGTGGGCCTTCGGTAGAAAGCATGGAGTTGAGGATGAAAGAGGATATGAATTCTGAAGTGTCGTAGTCAAAACAAAAAAAATGGAGATTTACATACATGCCACCCAATCCTTATTTGTTTACATTTCTAGCACCTCAATCCTCATGATACATATAAGAAACAAAAAAAAGTAGTTGTCTATACCAAGCATCCTAGAAAGGATTTGATGCTTCCCTATTTGAGATACATGTTGAGCATGGAGTTTAATCTCTCAAAGGCTTTTGGAGTCTGTTTTTAGGGGTTTTGATGTTATCCCTTGTGTTGCCCCTCTATTCGAAGCTTATTCATGAAATTTCACTTAATTTTGGGGTTTTGGAGATTTACATACATGCCACCCAATCCTTATTTGTTTACATTTCTAACACCTCAATCCTCATGATATATATGAGAAACAAAGGTAGTTGTCTATGTCAAGCATCCTAGAAAGGATTTGGATAGTATCAACGCAAAACAGAGGAGTTTAGGAGCTAGATAAGGAAATATAGAAAGGCTAGGTGGCATCTTTTTCTTATGATATAAAAGATTTGGGTAGGTTGCTCCTCTTACCCCTGAACATGTTTTGGTTGTTTCCCTTGTTGCCTCGGCCGTGAGCATTTATTTGGTTATGTGGGAAGATTTTATGCTTATTTGATGCATGAGGCTACCTATTAGTTCGAAAGTTGGGGAATTTTAATTTCAGCATGAGTTTTGGAAGTATCGGTGGTGGTTTCCCCGAGGTCATCCTCTTTCGAAGTTTGGGAGATTTTAAACTTCATTTTGGAGAAGCATTTGGTGGATTTGATCAATCCTACGTCTTTGGGGTTTGAAAAATCAGCGCAAAGTGACCCTTTATGTTTGTTAGGAAAGATCTTGGGCCCTCTTTTTCTAGGTCTTTTCGATACGAGTTTTGAGGGCTGATCTATTCTCCTTTTCGGAGTTTTAGATGGATCAGTTCCTCCTCTCTCTCACCCCGTTTTTGTTCTTTTCTTTCCTTGCTTCTTGGTTCGCTCTTTTTGATGCTTATGTCCGATGCATAAGTGTCCACGTATAGCCTTTTGCTATACGTGAAATCATCAAGCAAGGTCGCAAGTAATCGTTTTGAGGCGTACGGTGTTGATGATAAAGGCACACCGAAGATAGAGCAGAAAGATGCCCTATCCTATAACATCAAGATCCAGGCATTTGATGAACAATAGGATATGATATCCTTCACCGACAGCCACCCAAATCTTCCAAATCATATAAAAAATACCACGATTTTTTACTTTTAAAAAGTGAAATACATCTTTTTCAAGCATAGGTAAGGTGGTATGTAAGTGAAAATTGAAGTTTAGGTGTTGAAATGTAAATACATAGGAATTAAGTAGTATGTAGGTAAATCTTACAGAAATTAAAAGACATCATTATCACTTATCATGACATTTTAAAGTATGAAGCAAACTTAAAATTATGGATAATGTTCGAAAATTAACATACCACGTCTTTGAAAACCTGTTGCAGTTGAGAATAAGGGTGATCTGATCTGGTGGACACATAGTAGTCTGTGAAGGTATATCCCATACGTTTGTCAAATTTCTTTAATATTTTACGGATGCCTGTAGCATTCGTATCAAGAAACCTAAGCAACTTTAAAAGATCTTGCCCAATTTCTCTATAGGCTTCTCGTAAATCACTTATTTGAGATAGCACAGGTTGTTCTAAAAGAGCTGTGCGTTTCTCATTCAATGCTTGCATTCTACTTGAAAGAATCCCTTGTTCTTCTAGGAGAAAAAGGACAATCTTTTCAATCTATGAAAACCAAAACAATAAAATTAAAATAAGATCAAGAAGTTATACAGAAGAAATAAAATTAAAACATACACCAACTAATAAAATAAGAAATAGTAAATTAACAAAATGATGAGCTTAAACATTCAACCATTCAATTACAATTTGGAATTTCGAATACTTAGGACATAACACTACAATATTCACTTTAATTTTTACATAACTTGTGATGCAGACAAGCCTTTAAATAGGATGGTCCCACAAAAGTGCGAAAGGATATAGATCAATTACAAAGATTCAAATAAGGCAAAACATAATGGAACCAAACTATACAAGCATTTTTAGACTTATTTCAATTTATGTAGAATTTCTTAGACTTTATAAATTTGATTGCTTTTTTGAATAAAAATATTTTAAAATTTAACATTTGTTAGGATCATATTTGCATTTAGATATCAGATCTTCTATTTGTAAACCTTTCTAAAAATAAGAACCCATTAGACTGATTAATAAATGAAAATTCGTGTACGTTGAGCACTATAAATTGCATATTAAGAGTTTTACATTCCCTTTTCTACCAATTTTGATACCAAGAGAGCTTATCTTTTATCTTTATTTAAAATTATGACATTGTCAAGTTTTCCATTATCTCTAATGCTCAATATGTACGAAATCATGCCGCGTACAATCTTGTTCAGCCTTAACTATTAATTTTTTAAATAATTTGAGCCGTGATCAATTTTTAACTGAGCTTGACCACTTATATGTTTGATTCACATAATTTGTGCATAGTCTTATTACTAGTTATAAGTGGTCACCAAGGCTTATTCAATTGTTTGGTGAAATTCATATGTTAACAAGAAAAAGTTTTAATCTTGATATAATTTTTTTTTCATATTTTACCATAATTATGCCTCTAATAATATAAATAATTAGTAAATTGAATAAGATATAGGAAAATTGATACAATGACAGACTAAATCATCAAATAAATAATTAAGCCAACATTGAAATAGAATTTTATCAGGTTCTAAGTGAGTAACTTATTAAATAGCAAACAGTTATATTCAATAACATAAGTGAACAAACAGGCAATGCTCAAGCTAGTTCATTTGAATAATGTTCTTTCAAAACATAGTTCAAGCTTGTCCAATTATGTAAAGAAACAATCATAAATGAGTCTTATACTAATGTATTGAGTTATTCATCAAGTGCAATGATTTGCTTACTGCCTTAAATATTTTATGTCGAATCCAACATAATATAATGAAATAAAATAATTTTGTAGCCTTCACTTGTCCCCAACTCTACACGCAGTCACATGCTTGTAGCCAAGTGCCATGATAAGAGATGAAAAAAAATGTCAGAAATTTGTCATATACAAAGAAGGATTTGAATTTAAAATTCAAGACACATAATAGTATGAACAGCTATAACAAAAAACAGGACGAAATGTAGAAATATGGTAATAAGTGCGACAAAATCATAGTTCTCAAGACATGAAAACAAAACCTAAAATGACATCATAAAGTTGGATGGATTAAGATCAATAGATAGAGAAACTATTAGATGTGGACTAATGTAAGTAGCACTACATGCTAAAGACGAGAATAAACAACATAGTTTAAAAGTGCACGTCAATACTTTTTTGACTTTTTTTTGCAATGAGACATGAGCCTCATGACCTCACATGTGAGCAATGTCTTGCATAAATAATTATGAAACATGCGACTCATAATAATTAGGTATTGATTATGTTTTAAAAAAAGTAAATATAAAAAATATAAACTAAGTATAAATCCTTTTTAATAATCATTCTTTCCCTCATGCCTCACTTCTCATGCACATTAGAGCCCCTCTCAACAAGGCTTTCCCTCTTGCTCGAACTCTCGCTATAAGATGTGTGCGTCATAATTTTAGGGTTTGATTGATGGGTTATTTTACTTTAATACTTATATGGTAGTTTCATAATTTTAGGGTTTGATTGATGGGTTATTTTACTTTAATATTTATATGGTAGTTCTTACTTCATGATTTAATATTAAAATGTCAATGTCACTTCTTACTTCAAATTTTTATGTAAGTATTATATTTCTTACTTTGCACATTTATTGAATTTGAGGCCTATGTTGAACCTCACAGATTAAAAATACTTTAATAGCTCATTGTATAATTTCAAATCTTGGTACAGAGTTGTGTACTCATTGAGTATCCCTGATCCAAGTATACAATTTTGTATTGTTGTAACTCCAATCATGTGCGGTACATAGTCACGTACTTCGATCAGATGGAGTACACAACAAATATCTAATTGTTTATTCGCACCTTTGACAACTAACAATTTTCCAACATTTCATACATGTTGTGAAGTGGATAGACAACAAGTAATTTTCCTCTAATGATGCTAACAAGATGAGAAAGAGTTACAATTATGCTCACGACTATCACCTCAGCTACGACACCTACGAGAACTACAAACAACCCATATTTCGGTGGCAAGGGCGGTATGACCATGATTAGAAGAAGAAAGAGCAAGGAACTCAATTAGTTAAAAAATTTGGAAGAGAGCAATGAAGATGTTTGAGACAACCAATCCCACCATACATTAAGCTTGAATAAACTATTAGGGGTAGCTAAAGCACAAAGAGAAACTTAATAATGAGAAAATGTCCGTATTAATTTTGCCAAATATTTTTATTGATATGATGGGTAAAATTGAAAGAATTCATCACATTTTTCTTTTAAATTGTTTTAGTACTTCTAATTAATTTTTTTGTCATATTGAAAGAGAGTACATCAAAGGAAAGTTTGTATGCCCGAGAGATGTTTTTATCTTTGTTGTTGTTGTAAAAAAGAGCTGAGAAAGTTCCACATCCTTTTATTAGCTAGAATAAGGCAATGGATGCCATGGTTCAAGGTTGTTGAGTACCCCTGTAAGAACTAGTTGGTTAGAAGCTTCACATTTGATGCATTTGATCATGTAGGATTCAAACTACACAAGTTTCAAATTAGAAGAAGAAGCCTTAACGTATCGAAAAGCAAACCAAGCCTTTTTAGAAAAGGGTTTATGAGTTATTTATTCTATTTGTGATAATAATTTTATTATATACTTTTTTTAAAAAACAAAGCCGTGATTTGAATCAGACGACTATTGAGGTCGTGTGGAAAACGTGAATTTAGGAAATGACAAGGTGGTTTAAGGTAAATTAATTATGATAATACTTAAAAACAAAATTTTTATATACACCGAATTACATTTATTTTTAAGTGTTGATGTATGTAGATATATGTTAATTAAAAATAAATATGGAAGAAGTGAAAGCATATTTGAATTTAGAATCAAGGAGAGCTCGACATCTATCATGTCAGGAGTTTCTATTTAAGCTAAACTAATGTTTAAATGCAATTGAAATTAGAGGTATTAAGTGCTATTTTATAAATTAATTCTAGGAATCCAATTTTAAATAGTAAGTTAAAGAATTTGGAAGGGTCGAGGTGAGTACCCCTACTTTTAGGTTGTTGTGGTTCTTTGTTTTTTTTTAAATTAGATTCATTGCCTGTTATTAAAACCTGAGTACAATATTTTACTATAACTTATACACTCTTTTAAATATAGATCATATCATTGTGATGAATATATATTTTTAAAAACACTAATGTTATGTATTATGTAAAGATAGAATTGAATGATAAGAATATATGAATGATATGGACTATACAATATATTTACATCTGTCTGATTGATTATGAAATCAAGAGTTCATCCTTTAAGGTATTCGTGCATGTAATAAAAAAAATTATTGATATTGATGTATCTTAAAAAGTACAGGTTTAGATGATGCTCATGTGACAGATGTATATAAAATGATATAAATATGAAAAAGATAGATTACAACAACTAATATTTTGAGCATCTTGAATGGCCATATTGGATAGTACAAACCGTTAAATACACCTATATTGATTTACTTTTAAGTTTAACTAGCATAATATTGTTTCATTTTTCAGTGTGTTACTTTAGTTTAGAAGTATGACTATTCACTGACAATTATAGCCCGTTTTATTTTAAATTAATCGTTCAAGTTTAATCATTTATTTAGAAGATGAATAATAGTAAAGGGAACATCTACAAAAGATGTGAACAACCTAGTTAAGGCAAATTTATCATTTGTTTAATTAATTTTTTAAATTTGCAATGGCTCTTTCATTTGTTTTGGAATGATTAAATATTTTTATAGTAATTTTTTTGGTTAGAAAATGAATAATTGTGAAGGAAATATCTACAAAAGAGGTAAACTACCAGAGCTAAAATAAATTTACCATTTGCCTAATCAAAATTTTAAATTTGCAGCACTTTTATTTATTTTGGAATGATTAAATGTTAGTTATAGAAAATAAACAATAAAAATTAAAAGACATTTGATTTACACTGTTTGACTATCCTTTCCCGTCTTAGTTAATCATAAGCCCCGGTTCGGGTCATTACGTGATTAAATGTTAGTTATATAGAATGAAGATAAAAAATAGAATTTTGATTATCATCATCTAACTATCACTTCCCACTTTAGTTGTCACGACTCGACCTGAGGTTTGAAATTAATCAAGGCGGGAATAAACGATCAGACAGTAGAAAATGAGTTTTCTATATACAATTACAATTTAACAAATAAAAGAGTCACTAATTAAATTAAATTAAAACGGTATTATTAAATTAACTCATTACCACTTGTTCGTAATTTCTACAAACACTGTCTCTTCTATTCCTCATCTTTTAGTAAATAAATTAACATGAAAAGTTAGTCTAAAATAATAATAGTGAGATATAAGTTAGTGAATACTTATACGTCTAAACTACAGTAATACAATAAAAAAAAATAATATACCTGTCAGTTAAAATTTTTAATAAATTAATATAAAAATTTAAGATGATATTCAATAAATCTTACAATAACAAAAGCATATCAATATCATTTTATATCTGTACAACCGTCACAGAAGCACCGTCCAAATATTGTAAAACT